ACTTGGATGTGATCATATTGTAGACCGCTTGAAATCCTCGAAATCTAGGCAAACTATATATTGCCTACTTGGAACCTTTGCATTACTTCTTCCGTTATCTATCTGCTCTGTTAAACAGCTTTACTGTCCAAATTGCAAAGCTGTTTTAAATAACTGCCTGGATTTGACCCTTTCTAACCGCTAAATATCTCGTCAGTTCGTGGAATCTCTCTTCGAGCTATTCGTTGCTTATTCTAACTTCATATAATGCATTCCTGATGAGGCGAACGACGTCTCTTGTTGTTCTGGTTACTAGATTTATGATGATCTCAGCCAGGCTATGACAGGGCAATAATATCTGAGAATGCAGTGTCCCTATCATTGGTTGCACTTCCCAAACATGTAGGGACTTTCCTTTATCTAGCCTGCTGTTGCAGGTTTTTTTCGCTAGCAGTTCCGTTAAACTTGCTCTGAAGAGGTGGAAATCCATGCAGATGCTTCTATTTATCGGCTGGTGTTCGCTTTCTGAGCCAAGTTGACGAATTTGGTGTGAAATACCCGTGGCCATTTCTGTATCATTTCAACGTGGATTCCGCTAGTTTGGCTTTGGCCACCTTGCCACCACCTCGGGTGGATAAAAATTGCAACTTTTTGAGGTTAAGGGTTGGGTGGTTTGCATGCCTGAGAGGTTCTCCAACAGCTCCTTCGATTCCTTTTTTCAGTCATTGCGTACGTGATTGACACGACTTATCAGCGCATCTCGAAGAGGCTGCTAATGGCCCTTCTAGACATCAAGTCAAAGGAGGAGTTGGCTTCCGTGGTTGAAACGCGTCATTGGAAGCTGCTACCTCCGGACGCGGATGCGAAGGATAATGAGGAGTGGATCTTCATTACCAACCACGAGGCCTCAGTGAAGTCGACCAACATCAAGGAGAAAGTCACCTTTGATGCAATGGCTCGCAGTGCACACGCCTTCAAGCCTTCTGTCGGGCGGTTTTTCATTCAAGCGCCGGATAAGCAGACTGCATGAAAGGGCATCGATGGTTTGGATTGAATCGTCCAGACCACTGCACAATAAAGCTATACTCTCGTGATTTTGTTAACTTGATGTGGCTAAAGACTCACACAGAATTGATCTGATGGGGATGAGGTGCAAGGGGGCAATTTTGTTGCTTTATTTTTAAATCACTTCGCTGTAGAAGGCAATGGCTGTTAGTGAGGCATTTCCAATGTTAAGCTTCTACTCCCGAAAGTCTTGAATTATGGCCTTCATAATTGCTTCTATTGTCGTCTTCTAGCGATTCGGCATTTTTGAATTGTCTTTGAGATGTGTGTGCACTTGTCGCATGTCATTTGACTCGAAATACCGAGAAAGTGCAGCATATTTTCGCTCACCCAATTCGGTCGTAGTTCTCTTTTTGTTTTTGTTTTTGTCTTTTTTTTTGGAAATTTAAGTAAATAAGGCCCTGGGAGGGGTTGCGTCATTGTTCTCCTGATTTCTTGAGTTGTATAGTCGGCTATGAAACCTTCATCCCATGATGGTTTTTTGCAATCTGTGAGAGCGTTTTAAGTTGATAGAACTGATGAACAGTGACGGTAATTTTCGTTCATAAAACAGCGTAACTTGTCCGTGGCACCCTGCAGATCCATGCAATTCAGCACTGGCAGGAGAGTTCAAATTGACATCCAAGTACGATCAGGTCCCCAAGGTTGGAGAATTTTTTGAGACCACGTTATTTATTAGTCGCATTTTTACAGATTTGCAGAAGTCTTTCTTAAGCGCTCATGCCTTTCATTGTTTTAATCTCTCCACTCCTCACTTGGTCTCACAATTTCATCGAGTTACAGAGCAGTTACAGAGGAGCCAAGATGTGAAAGCACATCCGAGTGTTTCGAGAGTATTATTTTGCATTAAAATTGAGAGTTAAATTTTTTGACCATACTTCGGCACATTTCCCATTTTCCGTTTTCTTTCTACCCAATGACTTTGGCATTGTGCTCCGTTTTAGTGTGCAGTAAAATTGGGAGTTGTTCTGTCTCAGTTGCTTCTCTAATGTCTCTTGAATCCCTCTACTTCCACTTTAATCTGCAAAAGGCACCTGTTGCTCCGCTATTGTTGGTACAACGGAGGGAACTTGAGACCAAGAACTTATTTAAGAGGTCCAGCTGTGGAACACAAAGTATGGAGGTCAGCTTCACTGATCCTTACCAATACTGCGCTAAGGCCACTGGTTGTTGAATTGGGGGATCCTCTCTGCTCTTCAAGTTGCCTATGGACTCACATAACACCGAAAGTGTCCTATTGAACTGGAAGTCACTCCTTTGAAACTTATTTGGTCTGTCCTGCGTCTGGTGGACGCATGAAGTCCAATTCTTGATCAGAAGGTCACCAACAAATGCAATTCCCGTTCATCAGAATTTTAGGCGCGTTCTCTCCCACAAAGTCATCAAGCACATTCACAAATGTTCAAAAGGATATGATCGTGACTGTCAGGCTTCGTTGTTAAGGCGATGGTGCGACGTGGTCGTAAATCACCTTGTTTTTGACTAATCCAAAGAGGTGGCGGCATTTGTGTGCAACACTTTAAACCTGCACTTAATGGTACCAGTAGAAGAGCCACTTTGAGGTCAGGCCTCACAGCGTCTGCGGGGCTAACCTGCGACCACGGCTTACCTCGCTGAGAATTCTCAACTTAATTAAATGCAAGATCAATCGGTTTCCCTAATTGCACATCTAATTTACTCACTAAGGTTTCATGCTAATTCTAAAGTTTTTATGTGGCCGAAATGTCTAACTGCCTTCCTGGTTTAAGTGAGCTACATCCACAAGAGTCAAGAGCAGCCGTGCTGATCACCTCGCAAAGGATGTACATCTTGCAAGAAACGGTATTGTTCCGCCCATTCCATTGCTTAAGCGGGACCAAGCACAAATCAGAACTTACGTTAGTAATTTAAATTACCTCTCTTTTAGCCCATTTATTCACGGACAAACCAGTCATAGTCAATGAGGGAGGGGACTGCTTCACCTGTCTTTGGTAGCAGGTCGACTTATCACTTCGTCAAAAGGGAGTCAGAGGGAGGAGGGGAGGGAGGAAGGAATGCAAAGGGAAGACAAGCGGACATAGAAAAGCAACTGGAAGGGGTGGAAGTGATACGACAGGGGAAACAACAATAGCAGAGAAAGACGAACTTCTGGCAGAAGAAAGGACGGAGGGAGATCATGCCAACGACACTTGTGTGAATTGCGACTTGGGACCAACTTGGAGACGCGTCTCATCCACCACCACCTTGAGGAGGCAATCAATTTAAATAAGGAACCGGGCTCTCATCTCAGTAAAACATGAGCTGATGCGATAGTCTCGTATTCGACTGTGATTAAACATAAAGATCGTTAACCAACTTCATTTCCAAATGAGAGTGGAAATGTGTACATTGAAAATCGAATTTGACAACCATCGCATTCACCATTCACAAAGGCACAGTCAAGGGTGCTGAACTGTCACAATCTCAAGAGGGTGGTCAATTGCGCAAAACAAGGAGTTTACAACTAACCTCTTCGTTGAGAAGGTTGCTCAAATCCACCCGATATCGGTCAAAGGCATCACGCAAGGCATTGTACTTCTCAGGATGCACACGCAGCATCAGCGATCGGTAGCGGGTTAGAAGCACCAGGCAGGCAGTGAGAAAATCACTAAAAAAAGTCAAACAAACGTCCTTTTATACACATAACTGAGTAAGTCAATATGCGACTCAAATAAAATGAAGCTTACAAGAAGAGACGTTTGAGTCTACCAATCTTCTCGGGCGGGTGCAATTGGGACCGCGAGGCGGCGAGAAAGGCGTGAGCGTAAGCCATCGGTCCCTGATTCACAGTAGGCAGAAGAGCACCTTGCAACTGCATATCGAGCAACAGAGGCACTCTACGTTCCCCCTTGGCAGTTGTCTCAGCCCAGCTTTCACCGATGTCGCCCACTGGAGTTGCACCAGTTGTCACGCACACTCCTCGTTGATTCTTTGTTGTTGAAAGATGGAGAGCTGTTGAAAAAGAGCGGAAGTGGTTTGAAGTGGCCTAGCACTTACAACCAGTAACAGATAAATAAAATGGAAAATTACCCGAAACATTTGCCGTTTCCTGAGGCGCACATGGAATGTGGGCAGTCAATTCTCGCACCTTCACCTGAATCGCGTCGATTGCAGCGTCCAAGGGGGACAGGTCGACATCACGGCTAGAAACTATTTCTAGACGTGAGCGAAGATGCGGAAACACAGCCTCTGTGGTCACTATCGTGCGTCGTTTCCATTGCGCAGTCAGATCCTCCGTCTGCTTCGGTCCGGGGTAAAGGAGACACGCGTCCGTGGACATACCTGAGGCGACGAAAAATTTCATCTATACACATCAAGTTGTCCAATTGCTTCCTTAGGGTCGAAACTTTACGAATTTCCAAACCTGGGTGCATTATGAAGGGGGTTTCAAAGAAGAATTCACGGACATCGTGGTGGAGGTCAAAGGATGTGCAGTGAGTAGTGGTGTCTGTAGGCATATACGGTTCCACGAAAGTAACTTGGATGTAGGATTTTCCAGGTGAGAGTCGAGAGAGATCAATATAATTTTCAACCAGCTTCTCCACGCGCCCAGCACCAAGACGCTCTTCATGGATGTGAACCTGATTCTCCAGAAACACATTGATCTTTTGCCATGCCTCCGTCCGGTAGATGTAGGACTTTCCAGCGAGACTTTCGAAGCCCTACGCGATGGATGGGGTCAGTAGAAAAACACTGGGAAAAAAACGCCGGTACAGATAAATGCTAACTTTAAAGATGACGATAAAGGATGAAACTGGAGTGATGGCACAAGAAAACATGGATACAGGATGCCACTTTCGAAAACATCTCTGTTAATGCAACACTTCCGATGAGTAGAGGCCAAGACCGAAAGTGAAGGTCCTCCAAAGGGACTTCGAATGCCATTCCAGCGAATGTGTCGCCGAGATGGGGATCAAATGCCATCTCATCTCGTTGAAGAAAAACATATTTCGATGGTTTTTAGAACAACGATCACGTTGTGATAAGCAAAGTAGAAGAGTGGTCATCAGAAGAACCGAGGAAGAAAGTCAAGTATTTGACAATGCTCATTTAAGCTGTGCTAGCTACTAGCTTGGAGGGAGACAGAGAGGCTACTTACCTTTCCAAAGAAGGCAACTCGGAAGTAAGAGGCAAACAGACGCTGTCCAGAGGCCTCAGCCCGTGCCGTATTCTCGTAGGCACGACCAAGATGATGGTAGATGCGTGCCAACGCCATGTAGTCACGTCGCGCCTCATACACTGGTGTGATAAGCGCATAAACCGGTTGAAGCGCTTCAAACAAGCCTGCTGCCTCCAATGCTGTCGCCGCGTCTGATACATCGCGCAGGAGGTCCTCCTACCACCGTCACAGCAAGAAATGCCAGATGTCACTTATCGCGACGTCAATTAGCCTTCGACACATATAAATTTATTCGTTTGTGACACATTGGAACAAATTACCGCTTGGAAGCATCCTATACTTTAACCAGAACCTCATTCTCCATATACAAGGCAGAAATGGCGAAGAATTTTCCTCACCACAATCAACTAGATGTTAAACTCCAGTCCGCACGCTGGGAGCCAAACTAAGACACTGGTCAAAGTTTTCAATGAACCTTATGAAAAAAAAACTTCGTAGCAATTACAAAAAGGGTTGTACAGTAGGTGGCTCAATGCATTTCAACTGATAATAGAGACTATCTGTTGGGGAAGAAAACCACCCACCTAATGACATCCAAAAAGCCGAGGAGAGATTTAGGAGGGCACAAACTCACCTGGTTGTAGGACAGTTCAATGATTGCTGGGTCACAGAGTGGAGAGCCCTCTTCTAGTCGAATATTCGCAGAGACTTTACAGAAGGCATCACATCCTTCAGGAAATTCACCTTAAGCATAGAACAAACAGTTTAGCATCATCACCACCACTACTGACCTCAAATCGGTGCTTTAGGCAAGCAAATCACAAATCAGTGGTAGAAGATGCCCAAACAATTCAGCCTCTTATCCATGTTTTCAGTTTACTTACGCTCCAGCATACCTAGACAGAAGTGATGGAAGTAGGCAATGAATTACAATTATCAAAGATCAGCTACTTATAAGGACATTTAAGTAGTGCTGGAAACTCACCCCGCCTATTGAGATACTCAGCCATGAGAGCGGCAATGTGCAACTTGGCCATAGCCACTTCAGCCATATTCTTCGAGGCCAAATGCAACTCAGCCAGCTTTTCTAGCCATGTCCTATGAAGGTAAATGTCGTTAGAACATAATTCGACCACATTCTGTAAGTGGACAATAGTTATACTGTGACGCACCGTCGCAGAACAGGATTACTGGCATACGACTTAGCCAGAGAGTACTGAAGGTCAATTTTGCGGTAGAGATCGTTACCATACCGTCGCATCTCCTCAGTGGCAGTGAGTACAGTGCGAATTCGCTTGATAAGATCCTCAATGCCCTCCATGAATGCTCCAGCAGTTGGACCGCGAAGTGGGGCCTGCAGAGAGGCACCCTGACTTATCGAGCGGCTGTAAGTTGGTTCAATGCTACCAGCATTACCGCTGCGCTGGATATCCATTTCTGCGAGGCTATGAAGGAGACTCAAACTGGCTTCGAACTCTGGACCAATGTCTCCGACCAGCTTGGAGAGCGAGATGATCATCTGTACGTGGAATGAAAGGGTAAAAACACTTATGATCAACAGTTAATGCGATTATTTTGGAATTGAAGTGCAAGTTTTTTTTGAGTAGTAAAGTGAATTCGGCTTATTGACTAAGAAGATTCTCCACAGAGCTACAGAAGTTAGTTTCAATCCAATATTCACACTTTGCAATAATCAGCACTTCTGCCTTGGTTCATTAAGTAAGAAACCAAATCCAACAGCAATTATTAATTGACTAAGAGTAACTCAGATTAAATGCAGAAACTGGTTTTACTGTTGGAAAATGAAATATCTTTTTTGCTTTGAAGGTAGCATGATGGAGTCGCTACCCATGGCTAACCTGCAAATGCACCCTCTTGAATCCCTTGGATCCAAAGACCTCAAAACTGGCCCGCCACATGCGGTAGATGAGGCCACAGGCCTCCAGTCGCAGGATGCCCACATGGGATGCGCTGGCTTGATCGAAGGCACAACGACTACTGTGGGATGACAGAGCAGTGCCAGTGGTGCAAATGACGGGAGTGGGAGGGGTGGGCGATTGACTGTCCTCTTCAATAGTGCAGGGAAGAAGATTAAGATTTGAGGTACGCAGCCCTGCCATGCAGATCTGAGCCAATGCTTCTGTGGTCTCTGAGAAGAGTACCTAATGCACGGATAGCAAAATAATACATAATAATAATGCATACTTAAGTCCTCGCCTTCTATCAGCAGTTCATAACTAAATTAACGGTCTTTCCTTACTCACCTTTGAGAAACGAGAAATGAAGACGCGAAGTGAGGCGAAAGTGTGCTTAAGGAGACGCTCCGACTGGCCGGTCGAGAGTAGACAGACATAGACGTCAAGTATACCTTGAAAGATGGGATTTGAGGGCTTTCCTACTTCCAAGTCCTTCTAAATGATCACCAGAAAATTATTTACAATTAAAGGCTATAGATAGAATTAAAAAATAAAAAAAACAAACAAAACGATAGAAGATGGGGAGACAGGCTCACTCGGAAAGTGTTGCACATCAAATTGAGGACGTCCAGAACAATAAGACCAGCCTCAGTGGCCATATTTGCTTCCAACAGCACTCGATAATCTGGGCGGAAAATTTGTAAATAAATGAACTCACAGAGGTTCAAGAGAGCGAATCTCAGAAAACAAGTAATTTAGCCCTCCTAGGCATGGCCCACGGGCCCAAAATGTGTTGCTCACAGGTGGAAGGCACTTACCACTATCTGAGGTGGCTGATTTCGGTGGTGCACCGAATGTTCCACGCTGAGTGACTGAACTAGTGCTGATTGTGCTAAAAAAACCACACGCGAATCCGTTATTTTGCATAAAAATTAAGCCAAAGGGAAGGATGGGAACTTACTTAAATCTGGCGATGCACTTCCGCCCGCGATATTTTAAGTGTTGAATGGCAAACCTAAAGGGCGATAGAGGCAAAACCAAATAGAAACCATAGAGCAAAGTTGACTT